ACATTTGCATTCTAATGGATAACTCCGAAACGATTGAACGGATTTAAAAACGTTTTTACAGGATTAAAATAGACATAAAATGTCATCGCGCTAGGTATAAATTAGTAGTAAAAACAAAAAATATAAAAAAATTACCTTTTTTGGGGTATTATAACCTGTCACGTCTGACGTAAACATTTCATAAGTACAAAAGTTCTGCAGCTCATATGTACCTACAAAAAAAGTACTTAGCACGCATCATATTACTTGCACGAATAATACAAGACCTTTTGAGCTACGATTAGAAGCATAGAAAAACAATTATCCCTTAGAATGCAATTTGTGATAATTCGCTCGACTAAGGTAAAGACAGCAAAAATTGTGTCTGGCAGTAAGTACTGGATTTTCCAAAAAATGGCACTTCAATAAGTTAGATAAGGACATTCTACGTGTTTGAGTGAGACCAGGATATTATAAGAAGTTCATTTAGAGATATTGACACTGAAGAGTCTGCTTTATCGATCTCGTACAAAAAGCCAGACCAAAATTAGATGTTTTTCGCCTCTTTTCTGGACCTTTAATTTTGAAGCAAATTTTGTGCCAAATGATTAGTCATGATGAGACAATAATCACATAAAATTTTTGAGTTGAGCATATGACTGGTTTGCGAAATATAGGGGGTTGTTCCGTGTTAGATCACTATAGGAATGCGTCGACCGTTTGTTCGCATCAACAAGCCAAGTGCCGGTTGAGAGCCGCTGCCACGAGCGCGACTCGCTCAACGCAGCGCATGGAGCACGCGTGCTCCGCTTGTTTTTCTTTCTCTTTTTTCTCGACCGAGTCACCCTCGTGCGATCATCGCCGGCTGGCATGTCTGCGCGATAGATGAATTTTCATCTATCGCACACCTGCGTCAGAGGGCGAACTTCGGTCGGCGCTCCGTTTTACAGTCGAAATGATCACTTGCGCACCGATCGTTTTTCGGCTACGTCGTCAGTTAATTTCTCTCAACGCTGTGATTCCACGTAAATCATTTGTACTCGATATCGGCGGTGCGGGCGCGTTCGTGATCGAGAGTTCAGTGCTGCGGCTCGATCTTCGTCAAGAGCGTCCGGCGTGATCGCGGAAGAAAATATCCATCCGCGAACCGCGCAGAACTTTGCAGCAACAAGATTTCCGCTTGTCCGCCGACATTACGCACCACCTTATATGTATGTGTGATATTGTGCTAAATAAACGTTCCTGTTTTGTACCATCTCGCTTAAACAACCACGTCTTATCTTTCGTCAACACTATCCTCCATTCCCGACTCTTCATATACGAGTACATCAGCAACGCGAAACGTCCGTGACGCGACAGGGGTCAAAGTTGTGCCTATCCTTTGAGAATGTTCGACACTACTGTACGTGTTTTTATTGCCCTAATATTCATGTTAAAAAATAGTTCCGACAATATTTCATTGTTTTTTGGGTCGTTGGTTACGAAATCTAAATTCTGAAATCTAAATTCCAAAATTTAAAATGGCGGATCCAATATGGCTGCCCGATATTACGAAATTCAAAATAATCTAAATGAAAATCACTTCTCGGGGATATTTTAAGTCGCTGATTATGAATCTGTAGTTTGAATTCAAAAATTCAAAATAATTTGACTAAAGTTTACTTCATTGATGTCATTGAAGTAAAGCAGACGTCCCAAGCTGCATAGCTGTAACTCTTGCACAATCGGCTACCACCACCACGCGTTTTAGGGAAGGCTCACTCTAGTATATATATTTATATCTCACTGGTAAATGCAACATTTTGAATTTTGGAATTCATACTTTAGATTCATAATCAGCGACTTAAAAAATCTCCGAGAAGTGATTTTCATTTAGATTATTTTGAATTTCGTAATATCGGGCAGCCATATTTGATCCGCCATTTTAAATTTTAGAATTTAGATTTCAGATTCGTAACCAGCGACCCAAAAAACAATGAAATATTGTCCGAACTATTTTTTAACATGAATATTAGGGCAATAAAAACACGTACAGTAGTGTCGAACATTCTCAAAGGATAGGCACAACTTTGACCCCCTATATTTCGCAAACCAGTCATATGCTCAACTTAAAAATTTTATGTAATTATTGTCTCATCATGACTAATCATTTGGCATAAAATTTGGTTAAAAAATCGAGGTCCAGAAAAGGGACGATTTTTGGTTTTTTGGCCGACCTTTCAACATCCTTTTAATATCGCAACATATAAAAAAATATCAATACAATTACGAGATATTACGATATGTGTCAACTGTTAAAATAAATTTATAACTATATTCATTTACCTCGTATGGTGAATATTTTTGTAATAGAAATGTAATGTTTCAGTCTTAACTGTATTAATATATATTCAATTCTTTTCATGTTAAAAATGGTTTATCTATTACAAAAATATTCACGATCCGAGGTAAATGAACCTATGTTCATAAAAAATATCAATATAATTACCAGATATTACGATATGTGTCAACTGTCAAAATGAATTCATAACTATTTATGAATTCATTTTGACAGTTGACACATATCGTAATATCTGGTAATTATATTGATATTTTTTCATATGTTGCAATATTAATTGATTATTTAATGTGCAAATAGATTTCGTATAAAAGAAAAAATAATTTCTTAACAAAAATATTGCATATTTGTATGATAATCTCGGCGTTATTAAGAAGGTCTTTGTAGCACCTCTATCACTTAGTCATAATCATCGTGTCTGAGCGCGCGAAATGTCAGCTCTGTGATTAGCTAACTTTAATCGTTATTAATTTAAAAATTATTATAGTCTCGACATTTTCGTATTAGGATTTTTGTCTTAGAATATTCTAAAGAATCTGCATTTAAAAAGAATTCCGCGTGTTCTGGGACACTCTGTATATATGCATATACATATAGAGAAGACAGCGGGTAAGAGAAAAGATAAATTAAAAATCTATCAAAAGCTTCTATAAATTTTTAATTTATCTTCCCTCTCACCTGATGTCTTCTTAAAAAGTAAGGATATGTTACATCTCCAAAAAATTTAATGCACTCTACGGGATGAAATGAATTAATTTTGCAAATACGATAACCATCGTAAAGTTTAACTTTTCCGTATAAATTGAAAAAAAATAAAGCTTTGTACGATTTTTTTTCCGGAGTTACAGTATTTTCAAAGTTATCATTGCATTTTTGTCCAATTATTACCAGCATTAGCATTACTTGTTTAGTGCGCACCACAGAGAAGTTGCTGATCAAATTTTGCGTTTTGTGTGTGTATGTTTTTATGTGCCTGCGAGCGTGCATGTATACGTGTGTAAATGAAATAAAAATATTACCTCAGTTAAGATTTAAACCTGGACCTCACTAAGGCATGTGATAATATTTATCATAATACAATTTTTTGGAATTTTTAAGAATGTTTTTGGGCTGGAAATGGAATGGAAAAAGAATACATTTCATAATTTGGAAATTGAATAAAAAAATTATTTTTGGAACCTCTGTATGTATTGAACGCGACTCAGGTTCGTGGGAGAGACGACACGGCACAAAGAAAAGAGACTTAGCTGAGGGGACGAAACACGTATATTTAAAAGTTGGAAAAGCGTACAGAAATTTAACAAGTATTTGCACTCCCGCAACTGTTCGAAAGTGTCGACGCGATAGAATTTCTATAATCGGGTAAACCGCGCTAACGCCAAACGATCGAATTGAGATGCGGACGCGGGTGCCTTCTGGATGACAGCGAAAAGACACGACTAGCCTGAAACCCGAAAACCTCGGGTTTTTTATACTCGCGTTGTTGTCAAGTCACCGAGCATTCCTTTCCCTTTTTGAAAACAGGAAGTCAGTCCGATCAGCTGATTGTCACGGGGTGATCAGCTGACAACTGACCAGATGTTGTCGCCGAAACCATCTGGTCCCCGGATGTTTGTTATCTTGTTTATGCGAAACAAAACGCGCATCTGGTCCAAAGAAAAGATCGCTGGGAACGCTCATTTTTCCCAGTAATCGCGCAGATTTAACGATGAGTTTTGAACACTGTATGACTTTCCGAATTTATATCTTTTTATTATCCAAGTATTTATTTATTACGAAAATTTAAATATGAAATGTACTTTTCTACTATTTTCAATAAACTGTAATAGTAATTTCTTATGATTGTAGTACTTACCAATAAATAGTTGGATGCTGTACTGCCAGTAGACTCCCTTTTTTTTTGGGACCTAAAGTCCCTCTGAATCAGTGACGTCATCTTCTTTTTACATTACACAAAAGTTTTTCAACATACTAATCAATTAAAAAAAATCACCAATATATTTTATTAAAAATAAATTAAAACACTTTACGTAAATTTTTTGTCAGCAATAAATCTGCAATAGAAAGAAATAATAATAAGTTAATATCATCAATTTAATTTAAACTTAAATTTTTTTACAATTTTACGAAAAATTATAATAAAGAAACAATTAGAGTATAAACAATTAAAAATATCTGGTATGTATATATATATATATATATATACTAT